ATCGTAATGGTTCTTAATGCAAAGATGCGAGACGGTTATATGGGGCGGGTTGTGGAGAAAAATTAGACTTACAACTATTTTTTTATGATTACTGCTGTTTCTCACCGCAGTACGCTGTAACGAATTATCAGAAGCATGCTGAGATTTGAGGGAAATTCTCGAACACTTGAACCTGACCTCACGCTTCGCAGGCTAGACAGGACCACCGAGCACTTCCTAATATCCCTAGAAGCCTGAGGGCCAAGTTCAGGCCTAGGGAGGAGCAAAATGATTTGTCTACCTTCTTATGATAACTGTGGCGTGATAAACCGGTAAACCTGGTAAACAGTAGTTATCATAATAAACAAACCATCAGGTGAACCTTCTTTTAACTTCGGAAAGGCAAAACCTGTAGGTGCAGTTCAAAATCGGAGTTTTTTTGTCAATTTACATTCAACCCAAATACTAAATTGACCTCGTGGTTAGGCAAAACAGTCCAATTCAGAAACATGCCTCCCATTCTGAACGTTTAGAAAATCCACACAAGCAACCGCAGAATGGAGAAACCCAGTATTTGTGCTGGCTGTCTGCGTTCTTGCTCCACACTAATAGTAGATGCCACCTACTTCCATGGGTTAAAATGGGACCCTGTATTGCATAGTGCCAACAATACCGAGCAAAAAGAGGAACTTTAGGCTTCTGGCGCTAGCCTGGTCTATATTTTTCTGTTCTACCATCTATCAACTAAATGATATTTCTTCCAGGGCTCTTTGACTTCCTCAAAGGCGCAGTGCGGCGACGGGGGGGGGGGGCAATTTGCCTTGCTTAGCCTCCCCTGACTGCACAATGCGTCATACCGTCACATGCTCGAATTGCACCATCATCGTCACCATCATGACCACCACGACGATCACATGATGAACGAACTCGCCAACCTGATACAGTACAGCTGTTCGGATTAGTTGGTGTCTAATCCGCCGTCGGGCGCCCACCCGTCCTCCTTCGAATCAAGGTGAACCTGCGCCATCGATTAACTACTGCTGGAACGGCCGGCCATTATTCCTTTGGGTAAGATTATTGTGATGGAGGTTCTCAATAGCGTTGAGTTATTGTCATAATCGGGGTACGTCCTGCGGCAAAATTTTCGCAAGATACTACCCTCCGTTCTAGCCCGGACTCCCCCCTCCTCATCCTACTTACCATGTTCCTAAGTGTTCCTACCTTCCTACCACGCAGTTTTTTTGGGAGAAATCCTTCAGGTACTCCACTTATTCTGTTGTCGAGCGGGAGGGATGGGGAAGGAGGGGGATATAGTGCACTTGAATCCCGCTGGGAATCGCCAGCGTACGATCTCCCTGGTTACAGTGCTTTGCCCAGCTATAGCTCAAACCTGGATCTCAAGGACTGACGGGCCAACTGCCATTGGGTCCTTATATGTATTTGGTTTGGAGAGACGATATGGATTCACCTC